GAGACAGACAGACAGACAGACAGACAGACAGACAGACAGACAGACAGACAGACACATGGAAAGGAGACATGGAGGTCTGGAAAGAGTGTGAGTTGAATAGTGGGTCACTTTATCATTCACGTACACTCTCACACACATGCACACCTACAAACACGTTTGCACACAAGTCTCGTCTAAATACAAACTCAATTCTCCCATGTTAAACATGTATAACCCTACCTATGTCCTTCTGAAGGAGATGGTAGGTTGTTAGCTTAGGTTATATTAATTATTTGTTCTGGACTGTTCTACTTTCCTGTCCAACTTTTTAAAATCGAAACTAGACATTTTAAATTATTTAGAGACGCGCATAATTGTCTTTCAATAACGCTGGAAGACCCGCTGCTTTCGTGGGAACTTCAAATGCAGCGCAACTTTGTTTTTCATACATTTTTTCTTTTCTATTATTTATTCTTTATCTGAAGGCAGGCAACAGCATGAATACGATAAAATAAGCAAATTTTGATTCTAGAATTTGTGTATGGTGGTTTGAATTGTGCCGCAACACTGTCTTTGGTCTGTTGCTGATCGGGCATAATGTGGCCGCTACGTTCTTCAAGAGTTAACCTGAGTTGCTTATGTATTTTCATTTCATTTGTAAGGTTAACTTGACTTGTTTGAAATCGACGATACATCCATCCATACCGTACCATACAATCAAAAAATTCTCTATATTTAAAATTACCGGTAAAGTACAGCTGCGTGTAATTATTTCAACAAATTTTTTTTCAAAATATAGGTTATCTCCTTTCTACAAGGGGCCGTATACTTACCAAAGGCATGGCTTAACTCCTCTAAAACCTCATTTGTCAGGGAGGCCGACGCTTTGATTGTTCCATTTCCTTTACCTTGGTCGCCGTGACTCTGAAGTCGATGAAAAAACTCGGTATTGTTGCCAGTACTGTAGCTTGTGAGGAGAATGTAGTTACCAGTCGTCGCAGATCGCTTCCAGTCTATTGCCGTAAGAAATGAGGTGTCGGAGTAGGCGTAGTAGGAAGGGTTTGTGCCACTTAGCCACCATTGGTTGCTAAAAGTCATAAACACTTTGCTCGCTGTTCGACACATGAGTGCATACAGTGCATTGCGCACCCGGACCTCCCTGAAACAATAACATGGCAATAATAATTTGAAGTTGTGTGCGTATGCATAAGTGTGACTGTTCGTCTATGTTTGTGTATTTATGTGCGTATGATTTTGTTGAATTTTAGGGCTTTTTTTTAACGAACCCTTCGACGCAATATTATGTAGATCATTAAGAATGATCTGCATCCAACCCTGTTTATGATGGCCAAACCGAGCTAGAAGAGAAGCAACATTCCACCAGAGAAAAGATTATAGTTAATATAAATGTTTCTCCGGGAATCGAACTCTGTTTTCCTGCTTCAAACGGCGAAGCGCCTAATCGCTAGACCATTGACCCCAGTTGTGTGTGTATAATAATTTGTATCTTTATCTATCTATCTACAAACACACACACACACACACACACACACACACACACACACACACACACACACATACACACACACACACACACGCACACACATACACACATGTGCACATGCACATCTCTATACATACATATATACATACACATTCCCATTCCCACTTGGCACACGTACAGCAGAGGCATAAAACTCTCTTTTACAAGTATCAGATCTCAAACAGACATCGGTTATCAACGCTAGGCACTCACGTCTCTTCTCGAAAGCCCCGGGAATCGACACCATAATAAGTACATTATCATACCAAAGAGTCTACATTTACTATCTTTGATCATACCAAACTGTGACATCATACCTGAGAGGTCTCCACTGAATCCTAGAGAGAGCGTGGTGAGGCAGTGCTAGGATCACTCTCTTGGCACACACAACATGCTGCTCATCCTGGGCATGGCGTAAAATAATTCGTGTTGCAAGATTTGTTAAATTCCATTCCTTTCTGATTATTAAAAATGTATCGTTGTAGAGAAAATTTGGTTTAATAGCATACATACACACACAAACACATACATACATATACACATACACATACATTCACAGAAACACATACACACGCACATACAGACACACAGACACACAGACACACAGACACACAGACACACAGACATACAGACATACATACATACATACATACATACATACATACATACATACATACATACATACAGTGCTATAAGATAATATACAATACCACACTATTAACGACCGTCAACACGCCAATGCTGATGGCATCTGTGCAGCTCCCTGTCTATTTTTAAAGGTTATCGTTGTCCTACTAGGATACATCCCAGTATGAACCCACCTAGACGCCATGATACCGATGAAACGGCTATTTTTTTTGTGAATGAGTTTGATCTCACTAACCTTCCAATTTTTCTGCAAAGATAAAGCTTTCCTACTTTCGCAAATACATTTTGTGTGCTTCATCTTGGGTTAAATATTGTTTGCAGAGTTTATGCCATTAAGGAACATTTTACTGATTTCAAAATCAAAAACGTTAGGGATACTCGTCATTCAGGCAGAAGAAAAGACTTCTTGTAAAATATGTTTCCGTTATACATACAGATGACGAAATGAAAGGTGAGTGTAACATGCAAGGCGTGCTGACAAAATGGGTTACTTCTTGCAATCCGTGAATTGGGATCTCGGACAAATATAGACACCAGGGTCAATTTTGTAGATGTTCAATGTTGATGTCATTTTCTTTAAAAACCATATTACTACTGTATGGATGTATGTAGGCGTACTCGCTTGCGCTCTACTAAACAGGTTCTCTACTGTTTATTCTTCCGGTCGGTGGGGGGAGTTTAGAAGGTATAAGTACAGCTTCTGCAGTTGTTTATTCTTAAATAAAGGGAACGATACTATGGCTGTATTTACATTTATCTCGACTGAACATTTCATCTAGTTTGTTCAAACGTAGATTAATCGTCTCAGCAATAAAGGGGTTATGTTTAACATGTCTTTTAGTATGCCATACTAAAAATTGCACAAATTCAACCTATGCATTTAAGGCATCTATTTCCGGAGGGTTTAAGTTTTAGAAATAATGTCATACACCTCACATTATGTTAACATTATTTCTACACCCTTTGATAACTTACCGTTGCTTTCGTAAAGCCATCCTCGTCTGTTTGAGTTCGGTTAAATGTAAGTATATACATGGCTTGATCACTCGTGCGATGAATGCTGAGAAGCTGCCGATTGAGTTCCAAGGAATGGCTGTTGGGTGAAGACATCGTGATCAAGGCAAGTATCACAGCAGCTGAATGGAATCGGGTTCATATAATGTGCAAAATGTGCGAGATAGTAAAGATTTTAGCCCGTTGTAACACTGCAAGGTTTTATAAGAGGTGAGTAGTCTCCGAATTTAACGCTTATCTTTGCTAGATAGAACCGAGATAATTGGGTGAATTCCTGTAAAGTGCCTTTCCCAAGAACACAAGGTCGGACCGAGCTGAGCCTCAAATCCCCAAGCTCTCAATCCCTAGGCTACCAACGCCACGTTCATTTTATGACTGTAAGTGTTTTAGTACCCTGGTAGATGTAACATTATATGGGGAAACAGCATCGATAATGAGAGCAGTAATCCTAAAGGTACGATAGATTGCTTGTGCATGGTATCTTAATCTCGAAAAATTCCGAATGTTGTTTTAAAGGACTGGATTGATTGGACCCTGTCTGCCAGGGCAAACAAGAGAGAGACGGAGACACTCGATTCAGCACACATACCCAGACAGGAATAGGACTGAAATCGTTGACATGCAGCAGCAATTTTTTTTATTATAAAGATATAATCAGCAGCAATTGTGGGTCAGTTTAAAGAGGAAGGTGTTTATTTTTAAAGAAAGTGTTCTGCTCCCCCATAGACACAATTTAGATCGTTAAGGAGGATTGTCAGAGCCAATCCGGTCTGGAAGGGATACAACGCCACAGAAGAAATTAAGGCTGTGATACTAGATAAAAGTTCTCCCCACACGGATGGGAGTTGAACTCAGATTCTCTGTGCGCGACGACGAAACGCCTATAAACGCTACAACTTGGACGTCAGCTCAGTGAGGTTGTGGCAACAAGTCAAAAAGAGAAGCCAGAAGAAGATAATCAAAGAAAACGACAGGTGGTTAGTTTCACCATTTGGTGCGTGTGTGTGCGTGTGTGTTTATGTGAGGGTATGTGGGGACAATAAAACAAAAATGATATATTTACGTAAATATCGTCGACAAGTGCATAATTATAATTATTACGAACATTAGGTTCTGCTATTCATGTGTGCGGTTCCATTATTAAATAGACTGTACCTCTCCTGTTGGTGTTCAGGAGGTCAATTAGCTACCCAATTTTTCTCATTGGTTTTAGGAAAATGAGTTTTTTCCGTTTGTTTATTTGTTTATTGGGGTTTGGGGTTTGGGGTTGTTGTTTTTTTTTGGGGGGGGAGGGGGCGGGGAACATGAACATGATGGAACTAAAGGTAGGACAATGAGAAATCGATGCGTTCTGACAAAACAATCAATGATCGAGGGCAAGGAACGATCAGAGCCTGAACGTCTTTGACTGATTAGACATGGCGTCTCACTGTACGTTCTGACCTGTTGTTGGCAGCGAGAAAAGCCTTTATAAGTCCCTGAGGAACCGCGGACATTCCTTCCTTCACGGTGTACACTCCAGCACCGAAACTGAAACAGACGAAAATGAGCCAATGAGTTGTTTTGTTTGTTTTGTTTGTTTTGTTGTTTTTTTTGTTTTTTTGGGGGGGTCTGTTTGTGCTTTGTTTCTGTGTTAATTTGTTTCTTATTTTGTTGATTGTTTATTTGTTTCTTTGTTGTGGGGTGGGTTTTTTTTTGGGGGGGGGGGGGGGGGGGGTGGTTGTGGCGCCTGTCCTAGGAATCCAGACAGTTTTAGCTGTTGTGGTATAATTTACAAACATTTGTTTCACTTTGCAGGAGAGGAACAGAAACGTTTTAAACGTAGTAGTTTTTTATTCAATACTTCGTTAGATAATCACCGCATAGTCCATGTCGACGAAAAACACCAACAGCAACAGCACAAAATGAAACTCAGGTCACCCTTTGAGGAGTATCCATCATGCAATTTAAAAAATAGAAAGTCACACAATGTCTGATTTTCACATTGCCACAACATTAAAGAGACGCCTTTCTAGGGTATTTCAAGGATAATATTGATGTGAAAAGGGATAACAATTACATTGTACAAGCCTTTATCTTACCAGAATCGCATCGTGTTTAGTTTAGTTTTAGTATGCAGTTTACATTACTTGCAACACAATTATATGGGCCGTATAAGTGCCGAAGATTAGAGGTGTTACAAGAGAGTAACTAACACAAAAAGTAGGAAGAAAGATAAGGATGGTGTATTTTTTAAAATAGGAAACGAGAGCACCCACCAACCACCGACAATCGTATTGTGGTCAAATCCCTTACAAAGGGTAATGTATGTACTTACGTTTGAGCTCCAAGAACTGAGTCTATCATCATGGCGGCCGAGATGTTGCTAGCGGCGTATTTCTCAAACACAAAGTATTTGGCCAGACAAAACGCCTTTCCTTCCTCACTGGCCACAAGGTCGAGAGCCTCCTCTAAACTGAAATATTAGACAGAACAAAGTCAAACAGTAGAATTAATATACTCTCAGCAATTCTTGTTATAAAAATAAGGCTTGGTAGATTTGTGTGTTGGGTTTTGGAACATTAATCAACGTTACCAAATCAAATACTACTTTAACGTTCTCGGGATGTCCGGTGGCAAAAACTTGAAGCTCCAACTATGAGACGTATTAAAAGGTTTCCTACCTCCTGACTCACTAGAGCAGATGATTTGGGGACGAACACAAACGTTTACAAGTTATATAAAAGAACGTGTTGAATGCTTGACTTACCACACCTTGCACACAGCTGATGTATCCAAAGGTTTTTTTTATTTAAAAAATAGATAGCCTACTAAAAGAACGGCACTGAAACGTAATGAAATTGGTAATAAAATGAGAAGTTGAACGCAATTTCTAAACTCGTCATATTATGGCGTCAGCTAAATGGCATGGGTAGAGGTCGAATAAAAAACAAAAGAATGTATATAATATACATTATTACTTGCGACGAGTCTGTATTACTTGGTCAATATCTGGAGACTGCTCGTTTCACTCACCTGAGGGTAAACAGGTACCGGCCGTCTGGCGCCCTCAGCTGCATGATTTGGTTTCGGGGCAGAGGGGAGTTGCCTTTTTTGAGACCTGTGAGTTTCTCCACATAGAAACTATTGACCGTTTGCGTGGGGATGGTTGTGGAGAAGAGAAGAGCAGAAAGAGCATTATAGTGGAGGAGAGACCATTGTAGAGGGTGCGTGCTATTTGTGTGTGTGTAAGAGAGGGGGGG